AATATTCAGAAATGGACTATCAGATATATGGAAAGAGACGACATGAAAGAAATTGAAATTTTACAATTTTTGACATTCAAGAAGTTTTAATTAAAAATCTGACCTACTTGTGGCACAGAAATGATCCAATAATTTTCAAAGTATATTTAAAGTTAAAGTGATTTAAAAGAAATGGTAATAAAGATTTTTGTTTTTTTAACTGCGGCTCAGCAGCCAAAAAATCTTAAATAAATTGACAATGATTTGTGTTTTGATAGGAACTTCTAAGGTATTTTTGGGGCCTGTTCCAAGGTTCTAATTCACAGTAATTTTTTTAAATTTTTTTCAAGAAATTTGCGTTTGAATTTGGAACTGAAAAAATGTCAAGAAATATTTTTTTAGTATCCTAAACTATTTTTTTATGTTTCATAATTTTTCAATCAAATGAAAGTGTAGTGTTACGAAAAATATTAAAATTGAGACGAACACATTTTTGGTTGTAGAGGTGGTGGGACGCGACCTAAGAAAACTTTTTAAAATATTATTTTTAAGTTAGAGCTATAGTGTAATCATTCATGTCATTTGGTTTACGGGTACCATTTACCGTTTTATCCAGGGGTACCCTTTCTGTGAAAAGTTCAATAGGTCTTGAAATACACCAGAGGCCAAGCCACGGTGTATGTAAGCTGTGTGGCCAATGTGAAACCTGAGTGCCAATCAGTCCCAATCTCTAGATTGTCAGCCTACAGAATATAAAAAAAAACATAAGTTTTACTTCATTAACATTCTTAAATGTACTCGCTGAATGATTTACTTTTCACATTACATAGTTTCGTAACGTACTTGTTACTTTATACGTACGTTGTTAATTTATTTAACAAGCAAAATATACACGATGTCACTAATGCATTATGTATTGGTCTAATATCTCTTATTTTTTCAGGTTGTGTATTTACATTCATCAGTTTAGTAGAGAGATTAAAGAAAAGTTAAGGAAATATTCATATTTCACTTCAATTATTTTATAACACGTTGTGATTCGATAATATCAACTAACAGTTTCGTAATGCATTATCGATGTATCGATATGATTTCAGATTTCTATTTTCATATCCAATTAACATATTTCTCACTGTCGCAAGTGGCCATGATTCCGTCCTCACTTGGAATATTAATAAGAGATAGGATGTACAGTTAAAACTTGCATCTAGTTTATGCAGATAATCTTGTTGACACAGTATACCTTTCTAATTAAAACCCACCTTTCTAGTTCATTATTACGCAGTGTGTTATTTTTGTATTAATTTTCCTACCCTTTCCTAACACTAGAAAGTGAATATGTGAAGTAGCGAAGTATCACACTAATTGGAATGTCGTAATTGAGGGAGCATATGCAGCGAAGATCTAACGGCTTCACTGATTTTAATTAAAATCAAATCTCAAATAATCAACAGTCGTCGGTTTCCAGCATTCGAGAAGAATAATTTAGCAGCAAGCAATTTGAAAGGTTTTTGCACTTTTTCACAAATGTACAACGCGATACTCCAACGATTATATTATATTTACTATATATTATTATACTTGTTTTATTGAATACTTCTTGCCCCTCGAGTGGCTCATAGCCAGAAGGCTATTAATAGCTTTCTGTGATGCTGCCGGCGAAAAAATGAAGCTCCCCATTACAAATGGACTTTATTCCTATAGCTGGGTGACGAAAGAAAGCACACGCAGGTCAAAAAGTACTCGCACAAGCTAGGTACGGTGGTGAGAGTTCGTCATGCTCACTACATGCCTCCTTTAACCCCAGGCATGGATATTACAGAAAAACAGGACAATGGCCTGAAGAGCTAGCTGGCCGAAGTCGGATTAATCGCGGACCCTAAAATGCCAAATCCATACATAATTACTCACAACATACGTACGCATATGCATTGTACTTCGCTTTTATTAGTATAATAATATTATTAACTCTATTATTATTATTATTTTTATTATTATTATTATTACAACTACAATAGTTCCATTCTGTAAAAAAGGAGCTTATTGATTTCCTTATGGGACTATTTTGTTGGAAAGACAGTTGGACGGACAGAGTAAAAATATTTCTTCCTCGCCGCGATATACTCTGCTTCTCAATGCGTTAAAAATATATGACCATAGTGTGAAATGATTCAACAAATATTATCTTATAATTTACTACAGCAATGGATAGTTGTCGCAAAAGTGTGTTTATCCTTTCGGATTATATTGTGAGTAATGTAAACTTCTCTGTAACTGAATGTTGCTTAAGAATCTAAAGGAATACTAATAATTATGAGAACCCACGAGTATGCGTGACAAAGTACTAATGAAAACATACTCTTCTGGTTCCCGTGTGTTCTGAACATCACACCTCTGGCAACACGTTTTAATCTTGTTTTATCGCTTTTCCTTCATTAGCATGAGGCACAGTAAAAATAATTAATCACAATATCACCTAATTTCGAATATTATGTGGGAATATTTTTTTAATGTCTTCGGTTATTTTTCAGATGTATGGATAATATGTCTGTTTAATTTTTAATGGAAACGTCTGAGTGTTCTGAGAACTGAATACGTGGTTGTCAGGAAAAACCAACTAATTACAAGAATCGCTTCTAGTCCTCGACTTTCCTTGGTAATTATTTTTTACATCATGTATTTTAGTCACGATTGTTGTACGCGTTGTCATAATCAAAGACAGAGAACCACTCAAGGCCAAACCGCTTATTAGTTTTTTCTCTTGGACATCAAGATGAACAGAGATGCATTGGCTGTCTTTGACGCACCATTCCTCTCTGCCCGGCTGTCTTCTCGATTTAGGCAGTTTTCTGAGCTGAGTTACCAAGGGCAGGTGGCTCAGAGCATCACCTGATGTCACTACAGTGCCTCTGGGTGATCTTGGGATACGAGTCGCGACGTCGGCAGTATTTTCGACACTAGCTAGATAACTAGGTTGAATTGAGTCGCTGTCTGGAGGAGAATTCTAGCGGCCGGCTGCTCTGATCGGTACGTTTTCGTGGTTTCTCCCATCAGTTCCAGGCGAATGCCGGAGCGGTATCTTGACAATACGACCACGGACTGGGAGCGATCTTTCCTTCCCTTTTCTTGCCGTATCATACTCCATACTTACATGCAGTAAATTGTGGTAAATGCAGGGAGTCCGGCCGGGATCTTAGAGCTTGTCCTAGCTGAGGCAGCCCCCCCCCTCTGAAGGGAGATACCTGGATGGGAATACCCGCTTGCCGCCTAGGTCGGAGTCGGATCTCACCACCCAGCGGGCGGCAAGATCAACCTCACCCCACGAGCAAAAACATGCACTACACGTACGGGACTAGTGACATTAGCCCTGGTCACGCCCGGAATCACTAAGCAATCAATCAATCAATCACCATCTGAGCGGAGTTCATTTCATCTAGTCACCGCATGTGGAACTCTTTTCTTATTTATCTCGAAGCTCATTTTAAGAATTTCGTCAATCACTGTGGAGTTTCTGACGGGCAAAACGGGTTCACGGCGATGTTCTCTCACCATGTCCTCTGCGTTGCATGCCACTGCGTCTCAATGATTCCGGCACCCACCCGTCTATTTATGCTTCCACTGATTAAGAAATTTCTCTTCTAGTGGTAGCCCAGTCACCCGGTGCTCAAAAAGGCTCGTTAGTGCCCTTTACACGATAAAACGATACAACGCTTTTATTCCGTGGACTCTGTTTGGCGTCATTTCTGGCCCCCAGGCGCTAATAATGTTTTACAAAATCTGAAAATGATTCACATGCACTTCTCTGTATAGATATGCTATTTATGCCCAGTTTTGCAGGTGTAAACTGTTCAGTTTCTTAAGTTTTCTTAGTTTGTAGTAATTTGATTTTTATGTTGTTTAGGTTAGAAATGCCCTTTTCAAGTTACACAAAAGATTCTGAAAACGTATCCATTTCTGTTTTAAAATAGTGTGCTGTTGTTTCTAAATGTGACGCCGGCACATTTGTCTATTACGAGTTAATAGCCCTGTATCAAACATTATAATGCTTGTATGGTAGACACCTATGAGGATATGAGGAGATGTTACAATGTTTTTTTTCTGGAAATATTATTCTTTGTTTCTAAGCAAATAAATCGCATCATTTTCATAATAAATAATTCCAAATAGCATCCGTGCACGAAACACAGGGAAACTATTGAGCGAAACGTATGGGGTCAAATCTGACCCCGAACAGAGACCACGTTTGGCTTCATTCACAATGAAAACTTAAACGTAAACATAACGTAGCCGCAAAATTTAGAAATGAGTTAAGTGAGACCATTTACAATGCCTTGACGTAACTGTAGCCGTCAAACCGTTAACTTAAGAGTTCACAAGCACCAAACTTTTACGTTAAATTTACGTCGGAATTCTACCAAAGACCAAACCGAGAGCAGCATGAAAGAAACAAACATGGATTTTGTTCAGCTAATTTGTAATTATGTCACTTCAATACTATTATGTACTGAACGGTTTTGACGTGAGTAGTGAGTTCAAAGTAAGAATTTGGGCCTTTTTTCTTGGGACTTTAACTTGACGTGGCGAATAAAATAATTACGATCGACAACTTCGCTAATTTTGAATTTTGTACAAGGCAATTCTTGTTTGTAAAGTAAAGGAAATGCGAGCCCTAATACAACAGCTACTCGCATATATATTTAAAGACAAATCGATAGGAAAATCGAATAAAAAGCTAGAAACCAAGGTGAAAAGATCTTTTCACCGTGCAAAAAGCTAATCGGCAATCGATCAAGCTTCAATCCTCTGAAATCTAATTGGCTCAGGCAAAACTTACCTTCCATCTTACGTTCGTCATTGTGAATGCCTGTTTTTACGTGTAAATCTTACTGCTAAGTTTACTGCATTGCGTTATGTTTAAGTTTGCATTGTGAATGACGCCTACGTCAAGGCGAAACAGAGGCAGAAGTGTGATTTCGCACACCTTGATGCCGATGAGGAGTCTGCCAAGGGCGGAGCGCTCCTCACCGCCCACGAACTGCAGGGTGAGGTGCAGCTGCGGCGGACCGGCCGCCCGCTCCGCCTCCTCCTCCGCCGCCGCCACCGCCGCCGGCGGTGAAGTTTCGGCCGTCGCCGCCGCGCGCGCCACCTCCGCCGGAGACATTGCGGTCGCCCCCGCGTCGCTGCTCCCCACGCTGGTGGCCGTGCTCTGCGGGCAAAGGGGGAAGTCATTAACACTGCCGTCGGGTTAGTGTGCAACAAGTGTGATGTCCGACTGAGTATTTGGCGCTTGGAAAAATGCAGAACAAGATACGAAATCAAGATATAAGAAACTGTACTGCAATATTTTCAACTCTGCGGGAGGCAGGTGTCAAGGCTGTTCACGGTTTCATCCAATCAGGAGATAAAACGTCGTCATAGTTACATTACTAGGGTAACGTTCAAACTCCCGATTGGATGTATCCGTCAACAGCTGATACCTCCCAAAGACAGAGTTGAGAAAATCGCAGTATAGTATAAAATAGATAATATTACTAAAATTTGTTAACATATGGTAGAAAGAATGGAATAACCCCGTCACAAAAATGAACGGCGATAGACGGATGAAGATATCCAGCGATATGACATCATCAGGAAGAAGAAATCCTTGAAGGCCGCAAAAAAGATGCAGAGAAGATATGGTCGAAGCAGTGAATCCCCGAGATGGGACGTGAAGATAAACAGGTTCACAAACCTGTATAAAAAGAAGAAGAGGAAGAAGAAGAAGAATGCGCGTAGGTTTAAAGCTGATTTAAACAAAAAACACAATCGGCGGCTTTATATTAAAATACTGATTATTGCAACCTTGGAATGATTTATTCTTCCCAATAGTTTGATATCGACTTAACATGAAGTAAATATCATCAATCTTAGAGAAATTGCTTCTTTAACTCTCAGAACTTGGTACCATCACATTGATGCACTTGCATACTTTTTCGATCACCGCACTTTATGTGATCTGGTTTGAAGTAGAATCGCCCGGGGTTGGTTTCTTGAAAAAATGTTCTAAGAATATCCAATGAACAATAATAATAGTCATAATGAACATTGAATTTCGTACAAAATCATAATCTGCTCTTCATCTTTCAATTCCTTCAATAGAAGAACAGAACTGTTATTTTTCCTGATAAAATAATTATAATTATTGAAACTCCACCTTGCGTTATGACACCTGGTGTATATACTTCCTGTTTCTTTATAAATATTTTATGAGACTTTTTACTCCAAACAAAGTGAGTCATTTCAAGAAGAAAAAACATATACTCCCTACAGAATCAGCAACCAATAATTCCTTCTCCATTTTCGCTTCATAAGTATAGATATGGGTTGAAAATGTTTTTTTAAATTTTCCCATTTCGTCCCAGCGAATATACCATCGAAACTTTCTGCGCATTTCCAGAACTGGAAGTGCTTTTGAAGGCTTGAGACGGGGGGGGGGATATGAGTACCCGCCAAACCGCGCGGACTTCTGACTTTTAATCGCCGCAGACGTTAGAAGAATTGAGCCGCACTCCCACTCACAAACAATCGCGTAACACTGAAACGTAAGAATTCAGTCCTGAAGAATATTTGCCCTGCCCCTAAACTCCAGGAAAAGGAAGTTGTACAAAAGCAGCTATCCGATGGCGTACACAGTCAATTTTACAATGTCGATATTATATATCATGTCTGTTTCTGACAACCTGTTGAGAAACTCAGCTTGATCATTGTTTTTTGTCATTCTGGTTCCACCACTACGCACTTGGCTGACATTTCGACTTCCATTTTTCTCCTCTTACACCTCAAATGGAGTAAAATGTTGACTTTAAGCGCCATCCGATTATTGCTTTGACTGCAACGTCGCATTGACGGTATAAATGCAGTCGCGACCTCGCCGTTCCTGTCCGCTAACTCACTCCGGCTCCCACGGATCGCTTCGAGTAAAACATATTTGTTCATTGATTTCATATTTTGTAAATTACACTTAACTTCCATTATAAATTACACGCGTCATACTTTCGAAGTGAACCAATAAAGTACACTTACGAGGAGTACAGTGATTTCTACTTGGTGTTTGGAGAGTGCCACAGTAATGCTTTCGGAGCGGTCGCGCAATGTGTTTATTTTGTTCTCGGTTGTTGTTGAGACTAGTCATCGAATACGAGCACACTGTAAATCTGACGGCCGGATGAGAAGGTCGCAATTTCAAAGCCACGTGCGATCAGAAATGTCGTAAAACGCACCCCTTTCTGTCAATTCACAAATTGTCGTCTCCTTTCGTCAAAATTTCTTGTATCCGAAACACATAGATTTTTTTTCCAAAATTCCTAGAAACTGACTTTACCACTGACTTTACCATTGACCAGGATGGCAGAGGTGGCTAGAGCGAGTGCCGACTCAGCGCCTTGGTCGGAAGGGTCGCGGGTTCCAGTCCCGTCGTGAGCATAGTTGTTTGTCCCGTGTCTTTCATGAATGTGTGGTATCGCAGAGGGCCTTGTGAGTCTGGTGATTACAGACTGACCAGCTCGCGAGTGTGTGTAGTGTAAACTGTTAATATGTGTCCCAATGAGGAACACGGCGTAGATAGTCGAAAAACCGACATCTCCTGAAGCTGGAAAATGCCACCGGAAAAAAATACTTAAATATATGCATACTTAAATCTTCGACTCAATATTAATCACTAACTTCTGACACTAACGAAAAAGAGAAATCATCAAGAAACTGCTGCGGATGACGTGACTGCTGTGAAATAACGAACTGTTTTGCTGCGGAATGTCTTAAGCTACATTTGCTCATCTAATTGAAGATGGGTGCTGTTTCTTCTTTTTTCACCTGAAATGACTCATCCACACATACTATCGTCCAAAAAACCCACTGTCAAGGTGTCATGTTATTCGCTACTCTAGAAAGTTATGCAACGTCTTGTTTTAATGGCTGGAGTGGGCATGTGTCGTTTCAAGGCCAAGGCTACGAACGAAAGAAACATATCTCGCCGCTATGAGTCCGTGCGTGCGAAACAACCTTGGTTCATCACGTTCACGTTAAATGACAAAATCAGGGGAGCCCAGACAAAACCATACGCCTGGGACAGTAGATACAAGGGAGGCTTTTCATTTCAAGCAAAATCTCCCCCCCCCAAAAAAAAAGTCTAAACAAAATGGATCTCTTCATGCATTCAGTTTAGTCAAAATGGTCTAAAGACTTTTATTTAGAAGTAATGTTTTCATATGTTTTGAGAGAAAATGACTGAGGTTCCAATAAAGTTGAGTCTCGGGCATGTTGACCCGCACAGAACTAACCTCAACATACCCGTGATCTTGGCTGTCCGGGTGACGCCGCGACGAAGGCTGTGTTGCCGACGTTTCGACCATCTTGTCGTGGTCCATACCAGCCCTGAGGAAGACCACGACAAGATGGTCGAAACGTCGGCAACACAGCCTTCGACGCGGCGTCACCCGGACAGCCCAGATCACGCACATGACTCTGGCCGCGGAAGCCTACGACTTCATTTAACCTCAACATACTCACTCTGAAGGAGGAACGGTCTGTGCCTTCAGACATGGAACTGTATGTAGAGTCTCGGCTCTCCATGCGGCCGAGTAAGGAACTGGCTGATCCCACTGTGAACAAAAATGTTACAAAATAATTAGACAAACTTTTAATTTTTACGCCTTTGCCCCCAGTGAAATGCAGGAGTTTTCAATCGGGAGGTGATCATAAACTGTATGGTGGTGTTAAACATTAGTTCTTTACGTTATTTATCAACGGAACATATACTGTGTTAAGGTATGATTTATAAAATTTATTAAACGGGCAATTAAAATGTGCTATTGGCAATATTTTTGATTTGTGACTAGTATAAGGCAGGTTATGACCTACACGTCAGTTTTTAGGGTTTTGCGATTTCATTGACTCAATTAGTCATTTCTAATGTGTTTCAGTTTCTAATGTAAATAAAAACAACGCTAAATAGTCTTACATAAAAGTTATTTGAAATACTACATAGTTCAACTATTACATTGCACTTCTACATTTCTTTACATTCATTTTCTTAGGTGTTTGTATTTTTTTATCTCTCCTGATTTTAAGGTGGATGGTTGACCTCAACCGATGGGATATGACATTGTAAACTTTTATGAGGAGGTAGTAGTTATAAAATTGAGGTGAATTACCACATCCCATCAAGGTGGCTGGTAAAACACCCATTTTTGCTGAGGGATTCGTTTTTGTGATAGTGTAGTGAGTGAAATCACTTGGAAACAATAGTTTTGTTTGATTGCGTTATTGATCAATGATAACGCAATTATTCTTGTTGCACAATGTCTTGAATCTATTAAGGTACGTGAAGAGTTAGAAATGTTAGTACTTAAGAGGAAACTGTTAAAAAGGATGACATAGTACATACATTACGTAAGAGATATCGAAAGCTAATTCTCTACGTTCTTTTATTCAGCGAGCCGAGCCATTTGTTCGTTTTTTTGACAGAGCTGCTATTAATGCGCACTTAAAGCGAGTTTTGAACCCCACGTTAATGGCTGTTAAGATATTACTTCCTCTTTAATAGTATAGTGATTCTCTTTGAGTAGCACCTTTCAGCAATACGTTAATTGTACGGTTGCGTAGGCTTCCGCGGCTGGAGTTTGTGTTGTCTAGGCTATCCGGGACGAGCCGCGTCACTGATATGGTGGCTGTGACCACCATGTCAGTGACGCGGTTCGTCCCGGATAGCCTAAACAACACGTTGATTGTACATTAAATCTTCATATAATAAATCAATAATCTCTTAAAACACTGAAAAAATAATTCGAATAAGGTAATAACAATAATAACATTTACGTCTTAGAGTCATATTTTGTTTCCATGACACTCATACCTATCAGGATTTTCGTCAAGTTTCACTTGATACCTTGAGTGCCAGCAGAGATGTCCCTGCTTCTGATTGTGGGAAGTAAATGTGAAATCACAGATTGTGCACGTTTCCTTGAGCACGAATATTGGTACATGTTGGAGGAATGGAAGAGTTAGTAATTTCGTCAACAGTAAAATCAAAACAAATCTTTACCCCATTTACCGATGCCAACAGTACCATTGCATGAAGTTATTTTACGTGAAAATGAAGTTCTTTCTTTATAAATTTTTCTGTGACGCTCGTTTCTTTCCATAATTGCATGTATAGCAAAAGAGAAAAGTTAAAGATTCAGGAGCTGTAGATTGCATGCAAATAGTGTACCTTCCTATATGTCACACAATTTTTTTGTTTTTGGACAATTAATTAGTTAAAATTAAATAGTGCCACAACGCGTCAACTTTCTCACATTATTGTAATTTTCGAAAATTCAGAGATTTGGTCAAAGAAAGGACCTGCGCCTTTATGTAAGCGTACTTAGCACTATTTGAGGGAAAATATAAATAAAAAAATTAAAGTTTTTTTTTTTAGAAAGTCTTGCTTTTTAAATTGCTGTTCTGCACTCAACATGACGCCAAGGCTATTCTGCACATGGTTTTATTTAAAGACTTTGTTTGAAGAACGATTTTATTACGAAATAAATCGCTATCTCCAATATTTCAGTTTCGCAATCTTCAGTAGTTCAGGAAGACGCCGAATACATCACAAACCATTGCAGTATTTTAAAATTCAGATAATTCAAAGAAAATCTAATCTGGATCATTTTTGTAAGAGTATTTGGGGATAAGTCCCTTTAAGATTTGTTTCCAGACAGACTGACGAATGGACATTTTGCCGTAAACCAGTTGTTCGGTATCTAAGGCCTAACCAAAATCTAGATTTTTATTGCACAGTCAATTAGAGGAAGTTATTCATTACTCAAGAATTCATCATTTTTTCTGCATAAATGAGTACAAAATAAAATTTTCTGTCAATCACCATTTTCCGGTGGAGTATTATCTATACCAAATCTACGAATACTACATATACTACATGGCTATGAGTAGAATGCGAGAAAGTAAAAAGGTGCTTTGGGGATAATTATTTCGGAATATACCACTGTTTCTTCAAAATAGCCTTAGTCAACTCATTAATTTGAGTTACATTTACATTTGCGCATAATTTCGCACACATTCAACATATTTCTTCTGTTTTATTTTTGTGAGAAATAGGTTCTTCAAGCTCCTGGCAACCGTATGAATAGTTTAACTTAAAATCTAATTGAATTTATTATTCATCTCTGTAAAATTATTTTGTTCTCTTGTAGCTTGTTTTATTAATTTAAATCCTAATATATAATAACATGTTTTTGTTAGTTCCTTGGTATTTTATGAGCGGCCATACCGTTCAGCCGATTGCGATCAAACTGTAAATTAAATTTATTCTGCACTTGCACGAAGAAGATAAGCATAGTACAATGGAAATGTGGGTATGTCTATAGCACCTAGACGCAAAATAAGGACGTTTTTGATGATCATTTAAGCGTTTATGATGACTCAAGCGCTACTGAACAAAAGCTGTGTGCAAGTATTAAGCGTTTGAGGCTGCATATACTTCACACCCGGTTGGGAAATATCGGCCGGAATTATCATTTGAACGTTATATCGGAAAAGTGAATGAAATTTCTCCAAGACAGTGTCATAGCGAATACATTCCCAAACTTGAGGGAGAGCGTTTTAACAAAATAATATACCATACGTTAATACAAATTTCAGAGGTACAGAGTGCCCAGAAATGTACACCCTTCTTATTTTAGTCCTCGCACGTCCATACCACAAATGTTCTTGTACCATTGTTCATCTTACGAGAAATGTTCTTGTTCCATTGTTCATGTTTCGAGAAATGTTCGTGTTCCATTGTTGATGTTACGAGAAATGTTCGTTTTCCATTGTTCATGTTACGAGAAATGTTCGTGTTTCATTGTTCATGTTTCGAGAAATGTTCTTATTCTATTGTTCGTGTTTCGAGAAATGTTCTTGTTCCATTGTTCATGTTTCGAGAAATGTTCGTGTTCCGTATCCATCCAACCCTGCGAATGGAGCGCTCCCTACCTGTGTCATAGTAGTTGGAGTCTGGTCGCTTCATCATCGAGAGCTTCATGAAATCGCCACCAGAGACCGTTGCCATCAAGCGGCGTCGGCGCCGCTCCCGCTCCTCCTCTGCAACACGCGCGCTATCTTCAGGCAATAGCCTGCGATACCCCCACGTAATGTGAGGCGGGTTGAGGCTCTCACCCTCATGTCTGGATTTTTGAACATGAAGTGTATAGTTCGATTTATTTATAGAGTGCTTAGGCAGTCCATCAGCTGTTACAGTGTCATCCAATTGAGCTTAAACGACCCCTCAGTGACGTCACGATTGGATGACACTGTAATAGCTAATTTACGTCAACAGACCTTATGTTTATATTGAAGTATAGACCCAGTGGTGGATTGATTCATACGTAGATAAGCGTACGTGCTTACAGCTTCCGAGGGATAAGGCCCCAATGTTTTTTTAAGAATTTTTTTTTTAGTTCATACATATTTAAAAGTTTTAAAACCTATTTTCATTCAGATACTAAAATTTGAATAAAAAATTACACATACAATGCATTTTTATTCCAATTTTTGGAATAACATATTTATGATATTTGTTTAAAAAAATACATTTATATGTGAAAAGTATATTTGCTTTGATATTAATAAAGCTATGATAGCGAAGAAGCTATCACTGTGGATTATAGTTAGAAGAATGTGTAGAAGGGAGTAAGCGGAGTAGGGGTTCGGTATGAAGGTTTTTGAAATCTTAGTAGGTTCAGTCTTAATTTAAAGAGCGGATATTTGGGGATGGAAAAAGAGACGGAGAGAAAGGGGATGGTAATAGTGATAATTGAGGAGAAACTTATACGATGGAGATTGGATATATGCCGAAGAATTTGTCGAGGAAGAAAACACTGGAAGAATATGATGTTAGAGACTGGGAAAGGAGCAATGAAGGAAAAAGATAGATTGGAAAAATGATGTAAGATTGTTTAACCGGATGTGCACAGGGGAGACGAGGAAACGATGCCGGTTGATGTGCAAATGAGTGAACATATAATTTTTGGAAATTATGTGAAAATAATAAATTTACTAATTTAGAAGATTTTTCTGTAGAGTTTACAAAATTAGAACGCGTTGAATGGCCATTCTAGTGGTGAATTATCTTATTTCTTGTTTACCTATTTTATATTATTTGTATTAGATATTATGGCTGTCCTGATTCTTTTCAATCATCGCCTGATTTCATTGTAAAAGGGCACATATTATAAGAAAGCATTTATGAATCTGATCTGACTCCCAGGAAAGAAGTATACCGGTACGTGCAGCCACCACGTGTTTGTTACTGCACTCATAAGATTATTTACTACTATTTCTCCTATACTAAATCCTGGAGGCTCTCTGCCACGAAGGAGGGAAAAGTTGGAACTAACGACGCTGAAAAGAATGTGCAATAGTACGGGAGAATGTTTAGTAGCAGGAGGACGAGGTACGTAGCCAAGAAGACAAATTTATATTAATTTACAATCAAATCCACCTTCAAATAAATTATTCAAAATATTATCCATATAAATATTTTCATTGTACTCCATTTCTACTTAATTATTAGCCACACCGTCCATAGCGTGCACCATTCATCCCGTAAACATTTGTGGAAAGCCAGACGCAATCTTCTTCATTTTTTATTATTGACATCTGCATAATGTAATCCAGAGACTAATTCTCCAGTAACCTGCAAAATCTAGAGAGTGGTGAATTGTTCATCCTGCTTGTTTTCTAGCTCGGAATATTAGAAAATCCATTTATTAGAGAAAATGTTCCGTTATTCCCTCACACGGGGAGGGCCTGTGAAGGCGACGGACACCGAAACAGAGTAGTTTCGTTTTAATGGTACAATGAGTACATTTTTTGAGAAAAAAGAAGGATGACACAGCTCTTATAATTCAGTTTAAGAAGGTAAACATGACTATAAATAATATTTCATAAACTGAATAAGGAGGGGTAGAGGAGAAGGGAGAGAGAGGTACATAGACGGTTCCATAAGAAATCGGATCTTAACGCCCCTTACAAAACATATAATCTGAAAAACTTGCTCCCCAGTTAATAACTACACGACAACAATATTTTACAAAATGAAATGAAATAAATGTCTTAGAAACATATCATATTATTAAAAATTCTGTCATAAAATGTCTCACAATCACAGGGTGCAAATGTATGTAATGTGCAGTTATGCGTGTGGAAACTCTTGCGTAGAAGATAAGAGATGCAGTGTGTTATCTGGTACACTCTTATCTATTGATTGAATTACCCCATGTCTATGTGGTGAACTCATGTTGGAAGGTTATCTTTTATGCCGTTGTATCGTGAATGCCAGCAAAAGTGTGTGAATATCGTGCCTTTGTTGTTTCTCAAGCAATAATGACATTAACTAACCATAAAATACAAAAGTCGATTCTTTTTCATTAATGTCCTATAGACAAAGACTGTTTTTACTGCGACATTTCTTAATAAGATAATAATTACTTATTGCCCAAGATTGACCTTTATAGAAATAAACGTTTAAATTTGCAATCCCCTATTTCCACTATTACTTTTACCTGCTCATTCTTTCATCGTCAAGCTCATTGCTCTGGAAGATTCCAATCTCAGAAACTGATTAAATACAAAAGTGAGGAACCAAAGAGGAAAACGATCACAAGTTGTATGTTTTATGTGTGTTACGATTATTAAACAGTCATAACTTTGTGATTTGTTTTCATTTATTACGCGAATTTCATTCAAGAAAAATGTTTCGAACTTGCAGTAAGGTAGGCGAACTTTATTCAAAAAGCTTACTGTTATTTTCCCTTTATAGGAAATGCACCGAATTCCATATTCACAATCAATAAAAAAGTACCTATGTAAATCAAAACTGTTCTACATGCAATGTCAATTTAAAAGCTGCGGATTTGCCCAACGTGTACGACTGTTTTTTTTTCTTCAAAAATCTCATGGCGTATCACGTTTGCGTGCAAATTTTTAACGAGTTGTAGCTTTTTACTATTATTGACATTGTTTGGTCACGTATCCGTAATACAGCTTAGTTTCGAGTTTTAATGAATACCTTTCGTAGAGAAGTAAAACATCACTTAGACTCGCCAAGAAATACTAAGGACAGCGCCAATGCTGGCTCTACTCATCTTCAAAATTGTAGGGGAAAATGTGCTTGACATCCATGAAGTCATTTTAACCTGGAAGAATAACTAGAATTATTCTCAATTTATTAAGTATTTTCAGATCAAATTTACTGCTACATGATCTCTTTGGTTAGACAAATGAAGGAGAAAAAGTTACTTATTTGAAGAGTGCACCAGAATCGTATTATGAATCTGTTATTAATGGGTTTGCTCTTATTTATTGACTTTATTGAGTGTCATATATCAATCTCTTCTGTCACTATATCTTTACAGAGGTACGTTTTCTGTTCTCTCTTGTGTGCCAGGCCTGCCATTTTCCTTCATCTCCCAGATTACGCCACCAGATTTCCCCCTCTCCCACGAAGGATTTATCAGCCCTACTCAATCCTTCAACCTCAAGCGCATCGTTCTGCAAAATTCTTACAGGATACTTTTTTACTCACCTTTCGCCTATTCTCTCCATTTCCAAAAACTGGGCTCCTAATAAATATTTAATTTGAGAAACCTTTTTGATAAATGCAATAATAGGATAACCTCTGCAAGTATATAATAATTAATAATAACAGGCGGCGATGGTGTGATGGTTAGCGTACTGGACTGTTGTACCCAAGTTGGCGGGTTCAAACCCGATCGAAGCCGTGGATTTTTAAGGGCGAAGAAATCCTACGTACGCCTTCCTTCGGAGGGGAAGTAAAGCCGGCTGTCCCATGTTAGTAGATTTACTTGCATGTAAAAGATCCTCAAGCCTAAATGACGCCTCTGAGCTAAATTCAAAATCGCCTGTTTCTCGCCCAAGAAATACCTCCTTTCTCTGCTAGTTGGTGAAAGGAGCGTAGCGAAATTTGCGTGGTCAGACGGAAGAGCGGGCCTCATGGCCCGAGTCTCGCCACGTAAAATAAGGCAAATTCAATTCAATCTGCAGAAACTTATAAGCAATGTTTGAATCATTCATAATGAAACACCCTTAATAGGTAAGAGTATGTTTAATTTTTAATAAATTGACTTTAGGTAAATGTATCCTCTAATTCATATGTGTTTTTATTTTCTTTTGTATTGTGTTGATAATATTTCTAACTATCAAACCCGTATTACTATTGACTCACTGTAACGAAATATAGTAAAAGTAATTAAACTACAAGCAATAAAAGTAATCTATAATAGTATTTCATTGAAAATTTCAAAATTATTGCGCTCCTCAAATATTTTACGCACTAGTACCATAACATCGAGCGATTTTCCTAATTACCCTGACATATCTAAAAAAAGTTAATATCATCATGATTTCTATCATGAAAACATTCCTGGCAAGATACCTTTTTTCTAAGCCTTTTTTCGGACAGCCAGTTTACCCTTTACGTCCTGATTGGATGTATATTTCCATACACTAGACACCAACACACTTTGCAGGCTCCTCTGATTTGGGGTCAGCATAATGCGAGGCTCTCCGCGATAATAGGGAGTTTTAGCGCCAGGCGTAAGGAGATATCCTTAAACTCGGCTTTTGAATCGGCTTTTCTTGAAAATATAGAAAATATCTTAAAACAGCGTTCATTATGAGCATACGACATAACCTATCCCGAAGATATGATTTGAAATTATTTTTCGTGAATTTCTTTCCTGTCACCTCTCCCACATATCCCGTTAATTCTTGCCAGCGTTGTGGGGTCGGTAAGGAATAATTGTAACATACGAGAATCGGTTTATCAGAGTTGGGAAAATTCAACTTTTCCTCTTCTTAGGCGGCCATTTTGTCGCTTGCAAGGCGACCGTAGAGACGTCCACAGGCGTGCACTATTTATGAAGGTAGAAGGTCGTACCTTAGACCTAAGGTAAGACGTTAGGACTTCAAGGTCACTCACGTGACAGTGCATAACGCCGCTACCTTACGGGTGGCACTAAAACTCCCTAATACAAACATAAGGGACCAACAACCATGCCGAAAGTGGGACCCGCGAACCTTCGGACCGAAGCGCTAAGACGGTCCACGCTCTTAGCTATCTTGGCCCTCCAGGGCGACAAAATATGCATTTTTAACACAGCGAATCAAACACATAAAACATTTCAAGAACAAGTACATTATCCCTTGCCGCAGTTATCTCTATAGAAGGCGACCGTGCACAGGACGGAATGACCGGGCGTCGACTCCCGGAAGTGAGTGGGGCGGTAGGCAAATGCGAGGGAAAGTGCGAGGTGAGGGCGAGAGGGCGATGGGGGCGGAGGCCGAGGCAGGGCAGCGGCCGCGCTCGCTGCCCTTATCACCGCAGATAAGCAGGAGAAAGCGGCGGCAGGGCGAACCGGCCGCAGTGGCCGATGCGTGTGACTGACAGCTGACGGCGCCCCCTCCGCGTCATGTCACGCCGCACTGCCTGCTCACAAAGGTTTCCCACGAACTCTCGTAATTAAGAGGAATGCTGCTCTGTGAATGTCACACGAAAATTAATTTAATGTAATAACGCGATGGTGTTTTTATAAAGGGAGTAAACTCATAAAAATTAGTTTGAAGAAAAGTAAGGGGAAATTTTATGTAATCGTTTTAAAACAGATAATAATTCAAAAATATTAAATTATCTATATTTTAATTCTATATTTGATATGTACTTATAGTTTGTTACGTAAATGTCCCTAAACATCAAAAATTCTTCGTCACAAAAAATAACCCAACTCTGTACACGACACTTCTACGTCAGTTGTGGTTAGACCACATCAGAAATCTGGGTTGAAGCCTCAGTATAGCTGAGGAATTGTATCCGGTCATATTCTATTCTTGACGATCCTGAGCTGCGCTCTAGAGTGTACTTTCCAAAAGAGTGCCAGTGTATTGGTTCGATTAAGCAAATATTGGGAAAAATATGCGGATGAAAATTGCCACGCCCTTTTTAACCACTTTCGAAATACACTCCTGCACCCCTTACTTGTACAAATGGCCTTGGACGTGGGAACACGTTGCCGGAAAAAGCCGATATAGAGGAGTCCGTCTTCTTCTTCTTCTTCTTCTTCTTCTTCTTCTTCTTCTTCTTCTTCTTCTTCTTCTTCTTCTTCTTCTTTCATCATTTATATAAATTACGCTTTCCTTACATTTTAAATTTGTAAATTTGTTTGTTGATGAAATGTTTAAGCCACGTAGACTTCTAACTATATAACAGGCCAAATATAATACTTCTAATAATCGGGTCTCGTAGCAACCAGGTCTGTTGTAAGGAAGAGTGACAGTACGTTCATAAAGCAAATCTCGTGAAATGCCTCGCAGCATCGTCAGTGATCTTCTTCTTCTTCTTCTTCTTGCATATATTTTAAATAAAATATCCTGTATAAAGAAGTGGAGTTCGTAGAATATCAGTTTGAAATTTATTCTTTTTAATGTCTTCTTCTATTCTTTTTAGTGTTGAAATGTTTCAGTTTCTAGACGCCTAAGTTAGTTTTTTCCTCTCGAAGTGAACGCCAAAAATGTCATGTGACTGTTACTTCTTGAGCAAAACAACTCCTTTCTAACTGTACATCAAGCGTTATAATTCAAAAAGTATGTTTAAGGAACCCATTAAATGAAATACAAAAATGTTAACGATTTAACACTAATATATGTTTTCACATGCTTTACCATTAGAGAAATACTCTTCCATTAAGTCTAGTTTATTATCTAACATTTACATATTATTTATTTACATAAATTTAGCACCTTATTTAATGTATCTGATATTATGATGACTCATATATGAATGATCACTTATGAAAAATTAGCTGATGCATTAACATTTCGATTCATGTGTCTGACTTGTATGTTTCTCGCTCTTCAGCAGAATGGAATATAACGTGAGTACATTAATTCGGTATTAATTTTTTTCTTCTCACAACTTTCATTTGTCTTATTATTCTTCTCCTCTTTTATCGCACTTTCTATTATTCGCACCCGCCTAACTTTCATAAAAACGAGAGACGCAAGAAGAACCTCTCATGTTTGAGGTCAGAGTTGAAATTTTCAGACATTCCGAGATATCTTAGTGCTTGTCAAGCCCCCGAGACCAGCAAACCACTCATCAACACACTCGCTGTTATGCTGTACACGTGCTGTATTCATCAGATATGCTCACGTGTACGCACTCTTCCTGGTTGCGCGTGAGTGGGTAGAAACGTAGGCTTTTTTCCGCGCGGTGGCTCTTACACCACGGGCGGCGGCGTACTGTGAGCGCTGACACAATCGCGAGGGCCGGGGTTCACGCGAGCCACCGCCCTCTGTCGCCAGAGGCAAATGTTACGTAAATCGTTCTGAGCCCCCCCCCCTACCCCAGGAAGTACTTTGTGTACAGGTAAGCATAGATGGGGACTTGCCCTCCTGAACATTTTCAATGGAATCGCACTGTCGTAGGTGAAGAAACATTTTCTATCTATAAAATATTTACAATATCTGGTTTTACCCTCTTTAATCTGATAATTTTCCCTCTTAAATCTTACTGACCCCCCCCCCCAGGAACTCCTTGTGTTCAGACGAGCGCGGATGGGAGCATGTCTTCCTGGATATTGTTAAAGGGACCGAATAGTCGTACGTAAGGAAACATTTTTATCCACAAATATTTTCATTCTCTGATTTGCCTCTTTTTAAGCTGACAATTAGGGATTTTTTAAAATTATTTATTTTAGGTCGCTTTAGTAATATCTGAAGTCATTAGCTATCACTATTATTAAATGCGTAAGTAAAAAAACATTTTAAAAATTATAACAATTATAGAATAATTATTTACAAACATATTTCACAATAATTTAAATAAATATGGAAAACCTAGTAAATTAGGGAATTTGTCTTACATTTGGGGAAGAACTTTTCAGGTCTTGCAGCCCTGCATTAGTTCAACATAAAACCATTTGTATTTATTGATAGTAATCATGAAAATTATTTATTATTTATTTTTATTATTTTTATTTTATTTTTGTGGTGTATTTTATTTATTTACTTAAAAAATGTCATATGTAAATTTTAAAAAAATATGTAGAAAAGGGGAACCAAAACGCCTTGTTTTAGGGTGCGCATGTCTATGCCTTTGTGGCATCTAGTTTTTGAGCGGTTCGAGAGTGAACCTCTTGATGTGAATTCTGCCACAAGGGTTTTTTTTCACCCGCCTACGCTTGTACAAAGAACGGTAATGTGTATGGGTTCATTTCCGCCGAGCGCTCAAAATACTTCACTGTTTATGATTGGTTAAAAACTCCCTACTGCCTCACGAGTAACCTAGGTTAGGTGCTTCTATTCTGAGCATAATTGTAATTTGAAGAATATTCCTAATTTGTTTCATACGTCTCGCAGCGCTAGTTTATCATTGAACTCATACACTTTGCTGGCAGACCATATCCCCGGAGAATACACACAACACAACTGTTAAAATTCTTCATCTTAAAGAAAATGCTTTGTTAAGTTTCTAATATTGGGCATCAATTACAGAATAATTATTAATTACGCGCTTTCCGCTACAGAAG